GCACAGGTGATCACATACCACCGATAGAAAGCTCAATTCATGGGAAAAAAAGGACATAAAATTTAATTTGGGTGCAGTGTTGCATGACCGTGCATTTGTCAGTTAAAGTAACGCAGCGACATAACACAAACTGCTTACGTAACTGCTTCCTGAACGCCCTATAGCAGAAATACTGCTATAGGGCGGCACAGGTGCACAAAATCACATATATATATATACATAATTTGCTCCCGTGGTTTTCACTCCCCTCCCAGATAGCGTCAAATTGCCTGTCAGTACACCAGTCATCACATTTAACTCCTTGATTGCCAGGAACACGCTAATACACAATAAACCTCCATTGCTAGTATAGTGTCTGAACAGATCAATATCTTTGATCAGAGCAGCACTATACCAGCGTGCACATTAGTATAGTGTCCCCAAAAAGCAGCGTTAGCGGGATCAGCCCTGACACCTGCCAGCACCTGCGTTTAGCCTCTACGCTTACCCCCCCCCCTTCTCCCCCAGCAAGTGCAGTGTCAGTAGGTCACTGTCACTTGATACATTGCACACAAAACCACAATGATCATAGAATCAGGCCTGATCTCTGTTAGCACTTGCAGCAGAGTGCCAGTACTAGTGCCGCACTATCTTTTGGTGAACTGGCGAGTACCAGCGGTCTAGTACATCTTGGTCTTTCATATATCTGTTAGATTGTAAGCTCCCAGGATCAGGGCCCTCCTAACCCTTTTGAATTGAACTGAATTGTTGCTATATTGTCTCCTGTTATACTGTAAAACGCTGAGCAAACTGTTGGCGCTATATAAATCCTGTATAATAATAATAATACCAGCACTGCAGTATGACTTGGTGACGTGGCGAGTCCCATAAGGGCAGTACAAGCCGGTGTGGTGGCGAGCACAAGTATTGTCCCACAGCCACCAAGAATTTGCACACAGGCCCATAGAGCTCCTAGTATCCTTCCAGATGTGCTTGCAAATCCCGACTGACAGCCCACAAATTCTGCAGCACCCGTACTCCCCCCATTCACTGCCCAACCCGGAATTCAGGTGGAAATAGCAAATTTAACTACTCCCCTTGGTTTTTGGAGCTGTTTTTCACAGAATATCTGTATGCGTTGATTGTGGATCAAAGCAATTTATATGCACAACAATTTATCGCCGCCAACCCAAATTCAAACCTTACCAGATCAGTCGCATGGAAACTCATTATGGTTTCCGAATTTAAATTTTTTTTGGGCCTAACCCTCAACATGGGCATTACTAAAAGAAATTAATTGTAGTTGTATTGGTCCACAGACCCGTTTCATCATATGCCCGTGTGTTCTCTGCTGCCATGGCCAGGCATAGATATGAGAGTATAATGTGTTTTATGCATTTCAACAACAATACACTCTGTCATCCTCGGGGTGACCCTGAATTTTATTGGCTCCACAAAATTCAGCCCCTTAACAAAAAATTTGCAGATGTCTATACTCCCCAGCAAAACATCTGCGTAGATGAGTCCCTGATTAATTTTTCTGGCAGCCTTGCATTCAAACAATTTCTCCCCAGCAAGCGTGCCAGATATGGGGCCAAGATGTAGAAGACCTGTGAGAGGACTACAGGCTATACTTATACGTTTCGGATTTATGAGGGAAAAGATAGTCACGTGTAGCCCCCCGGATGCCCAGACTACATAGGGAGCAGTGACAAGATAGTTTGGGACTTAGTGTCATCCTTTTTCCATATGGGTTACCACTTATACGTGGACAATTTTTATTCAAGCGTGCCACTATTTAGACATTTGTTCAATCTTGGAACTGGCGCATGTGGCAAAGTGTGACCTAATGTGTGCCCACCATTAGAAGTGGGTGGATGCAGGGAGGAATATTGTAATGGTGGGCATACCACACACTTTTCCTGGCAGAGATTTCTTCTCTTTTTTTCATTCAGCCCACAGGCTGCATACAAAAAAAAAAGAACATAGCATATATAACCAACAAGGATCAGCGTTGTACTGGTACATCACTGGACTTTGAATGGTTATACCAGGATGATGCCTACAGTTGCAGGCATCAACCTGGTATAGTTTTTTTTCAGCCGGCGATCAGCTTTCATTTAAAAGCAATTCTAGTGGCTAATTAGCTGCAGGATTGCTTTTACAAGCAGCGGGATATGATGCCCCCTCCCCCGCTGCCTTCCACAGCCTTCTCGGGCAGTCCAGTGCCATTGGGGGAACCTGAGAATGCAGCCGGTGTTTCTTCCAGCTGACCATGGAGCTGATTGGAGACCAGAATGGTGCCAATCATCTCTATAGTCTAAGAATTTGGAAGCTACGAGCATTTCATCACCTCAGTTTCGCAGGATATAAACAGCGCCATTTGTAAATTGGGAATGCATCTGATCACACCGATCTTGGTTTGATTAGATAATGTAAGGACAGAGGAGATATCGAGAGTCTGATAGACCCCAGATTTCTCAAAAAAAGAATATATGAGTTATAGGGGATATTTGCATTCCCTGTGATAGAATTAATTTTTTTACCACAAGTTTTTGGAAAATGACAAATTTTTTTTTTTTTTTTTTACACAAAATTGTCATTTAAATGATTTACTGCTCACACATGCCATGGGTATATGTAGAATTACTCCCCAAAATACATTTTGGTACTTCTCCTGAGTATAGGGGTACCACATGTGAGAGACTTTTTGGCAGTCTAGCCAAGTACAGGACCCCAAACTCCAATAAGCACCTTCAGGCTTTTAAAGGGCTTTATTTCCTCATTACACTTCCAGACTACCTATCACAGTTTCGGAGGCCCTGAAATGCCAGGATAGCACCTACCCCCCCCCCCCCCCCCCCCAAATGACCCCTTTTTGCCTTTTTGGAAAGTAGACACACCAAGGAATTTGATAAGAAGCATGGTAAGTATTTTGCAGATCTCATTTGTTGCCACAAGTTTTTGGAAAATTAAGAAAAAAAACAAAAAATGTTTTTTCTGTTCTTTTTTTATATTTCAAAACCTTGTGAGAAAAAAATAGATCTGCAAAATACTCACCATGCCTCTTTTTAAATTCCTTGGGGTGTCTACTTTCCAGAAAGGGGTCATTTGGGGGGGGGTTTGGTGCTATCCTGGCATATCGGGGCCTTCAAAACTGTGATAGGTATTGAGGAAGTGAAATGAGGATGTTACGCACCTTCAGGCTTTCAAAGTGGTCATTGGATTTCAGGCTCCTGTATGTGGCTAGGCTCTCAAAAAGTCTCACACATGTGGTATCCCCATACTCGGTAGAAGTAGCAGAATGTATTTTGGGGTGTAATTCCACATATACCCTTTGCTTGTGCGAGAAATAAATCATTTAAATGACAACTTTGTGTAAAAAAAAAAAAAAAACGGTTTTGTCATTTTCCAGAAACTTGTGGGAAAAAAATAAATCTTCCATGGACTCAATATGCCTCTCAGCAGATAGCTTAGAGTGTCTACTTTCCGAAAAGGGGTCATTTGAGGGTGTTTGTACTATCCTGGTATTTTAGCACCTCAAGAAATGTGATGAGCAGTCAGAAAGTAAAAGCTGTGTAAATTCCATTATCTACACCATAGTTTGTAGATTCTATAACTTTCACACAAAGCAATAAATATACACTTACTGGGATTTTTTTAACCAAAAACATGTAGCAGAATACATTTTGGCCTAAATTTATGATGAAATTTTAGTTTTTTTTGGATATTTTTTATGACCAAAATGAGAAAATATTGTTTTTTTAACAAAAATTTCTTTTCTTGAAAAATTTTTGTTTATAGCGCCAAAAAACAAAAGTGCACAGGTGATCAAATACCACCAAAAGAAAGCTCTATTTGTGTGAAAAAAAGGACATAAATTTTATTTATGTACCGTATTGCATGACCACGCAATTGTCCATTAAACTAGCGCAGCGCAGTATAGCAAAAAAAATGGCGTAAATTGCAGTATCTATACCAGGGGTCCTCAAACTTTTTAAACAGGGGGCCAGTTCACTGTCCCTCAGACCGTTGGAGGGACGGACTATAGTTTAAAAAAAAAACTATGAACAAATGCGGACACAGTACAGGAGATGACCAGAGACTGCGGACATACAACGGCGGCGAGAATACTGGGCCGGCCTCTCCATAAGTCACACAGACATTTCCCCCCAAGTGTGTCTTATGGAGCGAAATAGTGCCCCATCATTGGTGTCAGTGGGAAGAAACGTGCCCCATCATTGGTGTCAGTGGGAAGAAAAGTGCCCCATCATTGGTGTCAGTGGGGGAGGAATAGTGCCCCATAATTGTGTGTCAGTGGGAAGAATCGTGCCCCATCATTGGTGTCAGTGGGAGGAATAGTGCCCCATCATTGGTGTCAGTGGGGGGAGGAATAGTGCCCCATCGTTGGTGTCAGTGGGGGAAGGGGATAGTGTCCCAACATTGGTGTCAGTGGGAGGAATAGTGTCCCATCATTGGTGTCAGTGGGAAGAATAGTGCCCCATCATTGGTGTCAGTGGGAGGAATAGTGTCCCATCATTGGTGTCAGTGGGAAGAATAGTGCCCCATCATTGGTGTCAGTGGGAAGAATAGTGCCTCATCTTTGGTGTCAGTGGGAGGAATAGTACGTCATTGGTGTTAGTGGGGGGGAATAGTGCCCCATCATTGGTGTCAGTGGGAGGAATAGTGTCCCATCATTGGTGTCAGTGGGAAGAATAGTGCCCCATCTTTGGTGTCAGTGGGAAGAATAGTGCCCCATCTTTGGTGTCAGTGGGAGGAATAGTACGTCATTGGTGTCAGTGGAGGGGAATAGTGCCCCGTCATTGGTGTCAGTAGGGGGGATAGTGTCCCAACATTGGTGTCAGTGGGAGGAATAGTGTTCCATCGTTGGTGTCAGTGGGGGAAGGAATAGTGCCCCATCGTTGGTGTCAGTGGGGGGGAGAAATAGCGCCCCATCATTGGTATCAGTGGAAGGAATAGAGTCCCATCATTGGTATCAGTGGGAGGAATAGTGCCCCATCATTGGTTTCAGTGGGAGGAATAGTGCCCCATCATTGGTGTCAGTGGGAGGAATAGTGCCCCATCATTGGTGTCAGTGGAGGAATAGTGCCCCATCATCGGTGTCAGTGGGAGGAATAATGCCCCATCTTTAGTATCAGTGACACTAATGATGGGGCACTATTCCTCCCACTGACATCAATGACACGTAACTTGCTAACTCCTGCTCCAGCATTGTGCTGCTACAGCCAGCACACCTGATTGCAGCAGCACCATCAGCATGGCACACTAACCTGTCAGCTGTCCTTCTTCACTCCTGCCTCTCCCTCACTTCCTGGACTGGATCGTCGTGGGACTGGAACCGGAGCCAAGTAAGGTACCACCCCTGTACTTAGTGTCCTTTCCTGTCCCACCACCTCTGCCGGCGGGCCGGATAAATGGCCTCGGCGGGCCGCATGTGGCCCGCGGGCCGTAGTTTGAGGACCCCTGATCTATACCATAGTTTGTAGACGCTATAACTTTCACACAAAGCAATCAATATACACTTATTGGGATTTTTTTTACCAAAAACATGTAGCAGAATATATTTTGGCCTAAATGTATAACTAACTTTGAGTTTACTATATATTTTTTATAGCTGAAAGTAAAAAATATTGTTTTTCTTCAAAATTTTCGGTCGTTTTTTTGTTTAGAGCATGAAAAATAACACACGCACAGGTGATCAAATACCACCGAAAGAAAGCTCTATTTGTGTAAAAAAGGACGTAAATTTTGTTTGGGTGCAGCATTGCATGACCGCGCAATTATCAGTTGAATTAGTGCAGCGCCGAGTAGCAAAAGGAGGCCTGGTCAGGAAGGGGGGTAAATCCTCAGGAGGGCAAGTGGTAAAAAACAGCTACCAGCTACAAAAACGGCTGGAACTCCGCTTTACACATTGGTCTCCAGAAGATTTTCCCCACCTGACCAGGCCATTTTTAGCGATATGGTGCTGCATTACTTAGTAAAAATTGCGCGGTTATGTAACATTGTACATAAATTATAATTATGTAATTTTCCCCCCCTACAAATAGAGCTTTCTTTTGGTGGTATTTGATCACCTCTGCGTTTGTGTTTTTTATGCTATAAACAAAAAAAGACTGACAATTTTGAAAAAAAAAACAAACAAACAATATTTTTTTACTTTTTGCTATAAACGTATCCAATAAAAAGAATACAGTTTCTTCATAATTGTAGGTCAAAATGTATTCTTCTACACGTCTTTGCTAAAAAAAAATCTCAATAAGTGTATATTAATTGGTTTATGTGAAAGTTATAGCGTCTACAAGTGGTGGTCTATATACTGGAATTTTTATTTATTAATTTTTTCTATACTAGTAATTGCGGCAAGCAGCGACCTATAGCGGGACTGCGGCTGGCATTTTGACACTGGATGGGAACTAACTGCCACTGACATCCCCAGTGACACTAATACAGGGATCAGTGCTAATAAAAAGCACTGACACTGTACTAATGACACTGGGCAGGAAGGGGTTATCATCTGGAGCGATCAAAAGGTTAACTGTGTGTTAGGGAGTGATTAGACTGTGTACTGTGTTGCCTTTTGCTAAGGAGACCTGCTGCTTTCTATCTCTCTGCTGAGTAATATGAGAAGGTATTGTGGGTACTGATTTTTAATTCTATATGGTCTTTGCTAATTAAAAACATTATTTTTCAGATTTTAGTGAATTTGTGTTAACTCTGTACTGTGGTAACAAAATCTCTGGTAAGTGTTAAATATTAAAAACTGTCTGGGCCAGCTAGGATGAAAAATTTAATATGTATGTATGTACGACTGTGCAGCAAATGGGTTTCCCAGTGTAACTGGGAATTATATATGTATATCAGTCCAACAATTACATATACAGACTCTGGATCCTGCTCAGTAATAATCCATGAGGTGGATAACAAACATTGCATGCAATATTTGGCCAGAAAAAAATAAACTGTGTTAATATAGATGAGGACATGTATACTAAGCCATTTACAGTTGCAAGAAAAAGTATGTGAACCCCTTGGGATTACGTGGAGTTTTGCATGAATTGGGCATAAAATGTGCTCTGAATGTCATCTAAGTCACAACAATAGAAGAACACAGTCTGCTGAACATAATACTACACAAACATTAGATGTTGCCATGGTTTAATTGCACATAACATGTAAACATTCGCAGTGCAGGGAGGAAAAAGTATGTGAGGCCCTAGCTTAATGACTTCTCCCAGAGCTAATTGGAGCCAGGAGTGAGCCAACCTTGACTCCAATCAGTGTGATGATATTGGATGTGTTGCTGACAGCTGTCCTGCCCTTAAAAAACACACACCTGTTTTGGGTTTACTGGTTTCAAGAAGCACTGTCTGATGTGAACCATGCCTCGCAGAAAAGAGCTCTCAGAAGACCTACGATCAAAAATTGTTGACTTGCATGAAGCTGGAAAGGGTTACAAAACTATCTCCAAAAGCCTTGATGTTCATGTGTCCACGGTAAGACAGACTGTCTACAAATGGAGAAAGTTTAGCACTGTTGCTACTCTCCCTAGGCGTGGTCAGCAGACTGTGTTCTTCTGTTGTTGTGACTTAGATGACGTTCAGAGCACATTTTATGCCCAATTCATGCAAAACTCCACGTAATCCCAAGGGGTTCACATACTTTTGTTGCAACTGTACCTTAGAGCACACCAACTTCTCCAGCTTGGGACACATCTGCTAGGTGCTTCTTTTACAGTGTTGCCATTTATACAATTCTTTTCTTGTACCAAATAGGAGTAAACATTGATTTTTACCATGGATAGTACATGCCGTCTTGTATATTAAGTTTTATATCAATAAAACACACTTGTTAGACCACAACACAACTATTCATTTTGCTAATAAAATTCATCTTCTTTTACATTGCCATTTTGTATAAGTGTGTTTTTTTTTAATGGAAAGTCTTTAATGCCACTTACCTCATAATCTACAGAAATAGCAAGACTCACATCCCCAGTGACAGCATTGCAGCTAAAGTAATATGAATCTAATCCTTCTAAGCCATATGTCAAGGTGTCACCATCAGCATCTGTAGCAGGGATATTGAATATATGTGCCCCTGTGTAAGAGAGTGGACATTAAATATGCAGTTGTTAATAATGTAGAAGAGAAAGAACATCAGATATGCAAATATTACAGTATATGACAGAAACACATATATGATTTTCCTGGTGGAATCTGTAGGCACCTGAAACAATTCCATTACCAAATGGGTGCTTTCACAAGTACTATGAATACACAGGAGTTGCAGATAATTTTCAAAAATACATTTATAACAGCACCGTCCATGCATCAATGATCTTAATCAATTCTGAAAAATATACCACATGCTGCAATTTGGCATTTGTGAAAGAATCGTGCCCCCCATGTACGCCATGGCAAATTAGGTTTTTTTACATTGGTGCTGCCCTGAGTACTGAAAAATGGCATTTTCACACAAGAGAGTTATTGTGCACTGATTGCAGTGGAAGGCATTCTCAGAATGATGGTATTAGCAATAGTCAACATTACAGAAGGTTACAATATAAAAAAAAGTTACAAATGTTATCGGTTATGTAAGGCAGCTCTGTAGGAAAAGATGAAATGTTTCAGCCTAAAGGCCTTAGTCAAAGCAATGCTTCTTCCAAAGGCACTATCATTTTAAAACACTGTCCAGCTATATTTTGTTTCTAAAGCAGTGAGTATGCAAACTAGTCATACTGTGTGACTAGTCAGAATGTGTTACTTTACAGTCCTATCATATTATATTTCCAAAGATTGGTTATGACATTTTGTTAATTAATTCTACTTGTGTAGCCAGGTGGCAGCTATGCCATCATGGAGTAAAACTTCACTTGGGACAGTTGACTAAGCATATCCCTCTAGCACCTGTGTTACTGAAATCTACCTCATTTCCTGTCAGCAGAGTGGAGAATGACTGTCTTGGAAAAAAAAGAAGAGAATCTTGAGGCATGTAGTTCCATTGTCATTAGACAATAGGCTACCACACCATTTCTTGAACTACACTTCCCAAGGGGCTGAACCAGAGAATGGGTTGATGGGAGAGTCTATTTATTGGACTGAAATTGGCGGTCTCTCTTGGCCAAGGGGATTTAACACAGAGCATCAGAGCTGCTGCCAAGATAGTACAGCCTAGCCCTCCCAGTCCAACTTCAGAAGGAGGATTTCCATTGCTGAGTTCTTTTAGGGACAGTTGGGCCTTTCTTCAGCCTGAGACCCTGCTCCACAAGTACTACACTGCTCAATGGTCTGTCAATGAGGCCAGCCAACCGTGTGCTCTTCTGTCACCTGCGAATGCTGGTAATGCCTAAAATGACTGTCCTGTTCCCACAGAGGCTGCCTGCAGGTCAGGATTGGTGAGCAGATAGACACCCACACACTTCCATTCTGTCACTTCACTATCTAGGGACACTACATGCAGACACCATACCTTTGCTGCCTTAAAGAGACTGTCACTATATCTCAGCTGTCTACTTACTGTGATGACTTTTGGACTGTTTATTAAGAAAAATGATATTATCCCAAATTAGGAAATTCTAAGGTGACTGTCATGGGTTAACATCCTTGGTTGATTTCAAGTGACCTTCCAGGAAGCTACCATAAACAATGAGCGGGAGAGACTTGTTTAAGATACAATGAGGTAAAACACCACTATTTGAATTTCTGCAGGTGATCAAACACAGTACCAAAGTTTGACAATCGCAGGACTGAATCCCTATTGTCCAGAGTTCTCCCAAAACCTTGGAAGGTATGTGATCACCAAACAAAACCTCTGAACTATCACAATCAGCGATTGAATCCCAAGGTTAAAATCCAGTCCAATCTGTTTACCCTAATTACCCAACAATGGATGAAGCTTCCTATGTCATTTCCTTGAACTGTGCATTCAGCATAAAGGTGAAACTTGGGTCATTTAAGACAAAGAGCTTGGTATACCTAAATAGAAATATTATCGAAAGTATATTACCAACACTTTTCCATCAAGGGAAAATCTATTCAACAAAGTTGGGTACTGCATACCACTCAACTGAAGATCATGAAGTTAAAAATATAAGATGGTTTGTGAGTTGGGTCATTTCTATATTTCC